CGATTTTATGCGATTACAAACGAGTTAGCTTTATTGAAGGTAAGTGTAGTAGCTGTTAGAAAATTTATTATGTCTTCCTTCTCTTGTCGCAAGAATCACAGTTGCAAATAACGTGCTTGCGCGGTCTTATCGGTTTCCTACATAGGCACTATTCTTTACGCAAACATTTATTATTCCCAAATAGCGTTCTAAAAGTACAATTTTCGAAGAAATCGTTTTTTATGTTTGAGACTTGCTCCAAATACTAATGTCAGGATCCCACTTGTGAACCTATCTGCTTTGATGCTGATCACGAAAGGCGGCGAAAGGAGCAGTTGAACAAGCAGTGGAATCGAACTAAGGAACAGGTCCGGCCCTCGACAGTTTTTCTTTCATTTTATACAAATTCTCAATGTTAAGTTGGAAGAAGAGGAGATGTTGCTTGCTGAATTGAAGCGTATCGAAGTTCGTAAAAGAGAACGCGAAAAAAAGGCACAAGATTTACAGAAGCTCATTAACATGGCTGAAGCCCCTGCAAGCCCCTCAGTTAGGTGAGACGTCCTTGTTTTTCGTAGTTTTTACTTTAAAAACAGCAATATGAGTTTATGCGCCACTATCTCATAAATTCTTTATCTTTCTCCTTCTCATTCTTTTTTTTTCTTGCAGTGGAACGTGCATGTCGCCTGCTTTGGGTAAGAAGAAGGGGACGATGCGTCAAAAAGCAAGTTCAGCTGCAGCAAATAGCACGACAACCTTTAACTTCAATCCTGTCAGTTATACAATTCATCTTGGTGGAACTTTTATTGAAGGATGCCATTCAGGTGGATATATCTGTCTCTGCAATTCGATTCCCTGAGTTCAAATCTGCTGGTGCCCATCTGCGCAGTCAGGAAATGAAACTCCCCACGAATATTGGACAAAAGAAACTCAAAAATATTGAAGTAGTGTTGAGCAAATGTAAATTGGGTAAGCTCTCACAGTTTTCTCCTAGTTTCATCCCGTTTTATCTGTTTTCGTTTAGATATGAACCCTATGGGCACTGAAGCCATTGTGTCAGCTTATAATGAGTTCCGATCGCAAATTATTTTGTTGTTGGAATTGAAATCCACCCTTCAAACTGCCGAATTTGAGCTCGAAACGCTACGTAACAGGATGGTCGAGGAGGGAAAAGAGGTGATTTCTTTGTTGCTAGAATCATATTTTGATCTTCGAAATTTGATGTTTAGCCATTTGAAATTGAACCACGAATGCGAATTTCGACAGTGCCTGAGGGTGGATTAGACCCTGACGAAGTTACGGGTGATGAAGGAGCACCAGCTACCACTCGACGTATCACTTCTTGCATCGACACCTCATCGTCTGCTAATCCTTTATTGGTTCGTTCTTTACTTCATTTACATTCTTCTCACTACTTTTGAAGAATTTTCGAAACTTTGGAACCTTTTATCTCAAGTAGTTCATTATAAATATCGCATATAAGACTTTTTATGCTCACTATTATCTAGTTCGTCTAATCACATTTTTCCTTTTTTGTTGCTAATGTTTCACTATCTACAGATTCGGAAAAGAAAACTTGGTGTTGGCTCACTTGACGGCACAAGGTCGAGGAGGACGTAGAATCTGTGAAGAAAGTTGTAAAATTGTATTTAATGCTTATGTTCTGCTTATTAAACCGTCATAATAAATTTTATGAAAATACTTGAATCAACTTAACTATAATTCATGTATATAATTGCGTTCGCTTATTAAACAATGTGTATCTCTCATACTATTAGACATTTGATGGAGCACGTTTTCTTCTACGCCTTGAACGTTCCGTTTTTCTTCGAGATTTTTCTGTTGCTAGGGGAGAAGGTTTTTGTCTCCATACAAAATTGTGGACTATGCTTATCAAAGCAAGAATAAAAGCTACGCAGCCTATAAAAAAATAAACTTTAGAATTGTCAAAGTATGAAAACATAATTTTTTTTATCAACTTCCACTCAAACTCCGAAATGCACTTAATTATTAGATTGTTGAATATCCCTATCTTTTTCATAATTTTGTTATGGTGGAAGAACCTATTCAAGGAACTTTGACCCACTGAAGTTTGGAAATCTTGACTCAGTTAATTTAAAACCAGATTATTCTAAGAAAAAGGTTGGGTATTATCATTATTTGTTATTTTCCG